ATGTCCTTTCTAATAGCATTTTCTTCCTTTTTTTTTTCATACTTTTATTTTTATTGCTCATGGCTTCACAGAAGTTCTTTAGCTTGATTTTAAAGCTACTCAATTAGTGAAATTGCAAAAGTGTTATTGGGCACATCTGTCTGCTTTTACATTGCCTGTCTCAAAGGTTGAATGTGTGTATTTCCTATAAATGTAATTGTTGAATGTTCAAAGTGTATCAGGGGCTTCTAGCTAAATACACATTTCTAGAAAATTAAGTGACTAGACAGTTTTGCAATATTACTAATGTAGAAAATAGTCTCTGTAGGGCAGTTCTCATATGAGTAGACTAATGGATAATATAGGTGAACATTTACAGTGAAATTGAGCATTAAAGTGTTGGATTTAATATAAGTTTATACTTGGTATTTCTTACTTAGCCTAGTTGCGTGAGCAAGACTATATCTCTTTTTTTTTTAATGGAACTTATGCCTTGCATGTTACCAAAATTAACAAAGTAATACACCTCAGTATTTAATGCCATTGTTACAGCTTCCTTTTAAAAACATTAGCAAGGTGTCTTAAAGTAATTATCCATGTGCAGCTACTGGTTTAGCAATCTTTCATGTAAGCAAACGTATTAAAGTACGATTTGTAGTGAGATCTGTTTGAGAGAAAAATTGTGCTTGCAGCTTTGTGTTGGAGATGGGGGCTAAGCAATAAGTATTTTTAAATTCAATTGTTTAAAATGCATGCTTCATGGAAATAGTGGTGGGTATTCTTTTGTTGTCAGCATCAGCAAGAACATTCATATGCTGAGCTAGCATCTCAGAATCAATCATACTGTGGATTTATTATTAAATAAATTCTGTAGTGTTGTGATTTTCGGTATGGATTTACTCCACTGGATTGTATTTTTTCATATAATATTTCTGTTCCACTTAGAATCTGCATGTTGTACAAAAGAGTATCGTGAGCTGCTCTTTCCCTAAAATTAGAGTAGATATTGCCAGGGTGGGTTTTTTCTTGTTGTTTTCAAAGCTCTAATGACATAATTTCATTTAATATGTAAAAAAAACCCAAAATACATTTAAATTCTATATTTTAGTGATGCTTTTTATTGTAAGCAAAAGAGTATTTATTTATTTAAAATATGTAATTATTGATAACAAGTTTGCATGGTAATTAAGTGTTTAAAATAACTGTTTAAACAAAGGCATGTGTGCATAATACAAACCCATGTTGGAGATGAATGTACACAGTAGTATGGGAAGACTCTTGAAGTTGGGCTGAACTCACTGTTTCTATCCAAAGCTGCAACACAGAGTATATGGAATCATGGAATCATTTAGGCTGGAAAAGACCTCTTAAGATGATCGAGTCCACCATTAACCCAGCACTGCCAAGCCCTACACTAAACCATGTCTCCAAATGGCACATCTACCCATCTTTTAAATCCCTCCAGGGGTAGTGACTCCACCGCTTCCCTGGGCTGCCTGTTGCAATACTTGACAACCCTTTCAGTGAAGAAATTGAAGTGTGGGACCTCAAAAAATGTAGAAAATATGAATTGCATCTCTTGTGCTGAGTTCTGCCAGCTGACAGTGATTGGTACAAAATATGCTTTTAAAACTAATTCCAAGACTTGGCATATTTCTACTGGCATTAGGCTGTGAGAGATACTACCTTAGCTACAGTTTTAACTGTTGACTTACAGTACTATCAGAAGATAAACTATTCACTAAGAGTAGTTAAGCAGAGAAAACCAAGTAGAAAACCTTGAAGAAAATAGATAAAGAAGAGTATGGAAATATCAAAGTAAAGAAAGAATGTAAATCTTTTTTTATTGTGAAATCAAATGCAGCTTTAATTTAATATTTATTAATTAATAAATATACTTCATATTCAGAACTTTTAATTTCTTTTTTTGTTATTCAGACCTAGGCCAATGGAAAAAAACCCTGCAGTGAGACAAAAAGATTAATATTAATATTTTTTCCACTGAATGTACTACAGTATCGTCCTGCTTCTGCTACTGCATTTGTTTGATCACATGTATTCACATTTGCTTCAGTAACAGCAATGATAGTTTATATGTTTGGGGTTTTCTTTGGTTGCTCTCCACATAGAGAGCCATAGATAGCTAGGAATCCATTTTTCATTACAGACTTGTAAGCCTGAGATTAATTAAAATATGCGTTCATTGTTGTGAAACAAAAATTGTCCGGATGAGATTTTAAAAATGTAAATACAAAGGTGTTGTCCTTTTTCAAGGTGTTATCCAGGGAACGGTTAAATCACTAGGAAATTTCTCAATGAGAGTAATTTATCTTCATCCTTTAATAGAAGAAAATTAGCTGCTGGGCTTGTCAGAGCTAGCTGTTTCATTGACAAAGAATCCAGAAAACAAATATCTGAGACTTCTGAACTCCTCCTTTCTTCTCCTCTTCTATCCATACTGACCTTAGCACTAGAGAAGCTTCATATGTGTCATGAAAATGCAGGTGAGGTCGAGCAGCCATGTTGGTGTCTTTGGTGATGTGAATCTATCCTTTCAGTGAGAGACACCAAATTATGCACGTATCTGTTATTTGTGTGGGCTGTAAATACAGACAGGTCAGAATGTAGACAGGGGTCTGTGGGAAAATTAATTTTTTCAGATTTTTGTGTTAGGTAATGATACTCCAGAATCCTGGAAATTCCAAAGACAAAGTGTAAAACACGATGCAGTTTAAATGGAAGGAGTCTCCTGGCTGGTTCAGCTGTGAATTGCCGTGTGAGTGAGCACATAGAACACTAAAGGGGCCCCTATAGGTTCTGATTTGATTTAGATGTCCCTGGTGACAAGTACTGCGGAAAAGTTTGATTTATCCATCTTTTCATGGACTGGGTATACAAGTCATGTCTGAACTGACAAAGGAAGTGGTTTTCCACAAAGTCTCATATAGCTACATCTGTTACTTTTACTGTATAATCCATTTTTACTTCTTTTTTTTTTTTTTTCTTTTTCCTCAAGAAGGTGATAAAGATGCACAGTGTCCAAAGGCTTTTATATCTTTGAGCTTAAATAATTTTACTAAAAAAGCTACTCAAATGAAGGAAGTTTCACTTTCACATTTGTGATCTACTTCCTATTAAGTGAGCAATAATTTTGGAGTAACCAGTTAAGGTTAGGTGGCAATAGCTTCTATATTTGTCAATATATTGACACTTTTTGGAATATGATTTGGAATTCACCCTATTAGTTCCTTTATAACTTTTGTGCTGTCTTATAATGATTTGTTGCCATTAAGAGCAATTAACCGTAATCAGAATAAGCTGTTAAGGATATATTCTTTATTTTTCACTGAAAGTGTAGCAAAGATTTACACAATTAAAATTAGCTTTTGTGAAGAGGCTTTTCCAGCTTAAAGTGCCTAAATAATCATTCCATAAATGTAGAGTGGAAAACATGAATGGATTTAGGAAAACATAACTGATTATATAGTAGCAACACTTCAGTGAACACTTATTGTAGATTGTCAAGATGACAGCAAAATTGCAAAATGTAGGACTGTGTGGTAACTGTAGGTATTTCTCAGGAGTGTTGTGTTATGAAAGAGAGAAAAACATCACACATCACTATGTGCTGCATAGAAATTTCTAGTATGTGTTTCTTGCAGACACTTTGAATGCCTAACCCCTCCTTAGTAAGAATTGCTCCTTCAGCTTCAGCTGGCTATTTAATAAGCTCTGAGGGCAGAACAAACCATTGAAGACCTGACATTGACATATTCTGTCAATACTATCTTACATTTAATTGTGGTTCTATTCTGTCTATTACCTTTTTCTCTAGTTGTCTTAGGCTGTGGCAGACGGGTGAAAGTGTGTATGTGATGGGACACTCACAGAAGGATTCATTGTGTGTTATTCCTTACCAGTAGAATAAGAACATTAAAACTCAATCTCCTGTTAGCAATTCAATATTAGATTAGAAAGTCGAGAATAAAGTTTTATCTTATACAAGGTCACCACTTACTATCATATCTGTTCCCAAGCAGGACCCCATATATTAAATCTTTTATCTTAGTCATAATGAAAACTTCAATGAAAGCATAATATGATCATCAAGGTAGGTTCAGAGTTACTTTGTAATAAAGAAAGACTTTTGAGTGTACTGTGAATGTTTGCATTCTGGTATGACGAGGAGATGTACTGACACATTTCCCAGAGAGACATTATTAAGTTTTGAATGCTTGGTTGGGAAAAAAAGATGGCTGCCCAAACAAGGTAATAAATCAAATAAACATGGGAAGAAAAAACAAAAAGAAAGCTCAAGGATTGGGAGTGTGAAGGTTTGTTTTGAGGTGAGAATCTCTGAGGCAGCAAGAGTGGCAGTGAGCAGACCATTGTGGAGAGAATTACTTCAGCCACTGAGCTTAACATGGAGTACAGTAATGATGATGTTTCTTTGATTCTCCTTCTGTTCAAATTTCTGAAGCTTGTAAAGTTGCCTGTTTCTTGCTTCTATGACATTCTTGTTGTAGACTAGTAGTATTAATCCTGTTTAAATGGTTTCAAAGTTCTCTTTTTGTTTGCTTTTGTCAAAAGGAAGAATTCAAGTTATATTAGATGTTTTACCAAACATGTGTAATAATACTTTAGACATTTAAAACGAAATGAATTTCGTCATTGGTTAGGATTTCACCCTGACCAGAAAATACCTATTATTGATAATTTTTTCTCTTGTGCATTGAAACAGTAGATTTTAATGGCTATTCTCAGACTGCGGTTATTTATGGTGTGGAGGAGAGCCCTTAATGACACAGGAATAGTTGTTAGCTCTGCAGAAAATAAACTAAATGATGTGCTAGTGAAATTTCCTGAAAAAACCCTTATAATTGACATCGTAATAGATATATATTTTAAGGCAGCTTGCAGGAAATATGTTTAGGATGAAGTATTAAAATCTATGAAACTTCCTTTAGTTCTAAAGTATGATATGGGTGAAGAAATCTCACTTTTCCATTTTGATTTTACAGCTTGCACATGCAGCGGACATGCAAATATATGTCACATGCAAACAGGAAAATGCTTCTGCACAACTAAGGGAATCAAAGGAGATCAGTGTCAACTGTGAGTACAATTAAATTTAGCCCAAAGATATCGCAATTCACGACTGGTGTATAATCACTTTTCCCCCTGTTTTTGGTTTTTGTTTTGTTTTGTTTTTATTTTATGTTTGACCTGACAAATGGTCAAACAGTGGTGAATCTAGTGTTCCTTACATTTCTTAGGAAATTTCAGTATTACTTAGATTTTTGTTAAGAATTACATCACAAATACTAGTAATGTTTTGCAGATACTACAGACTTAAAAAAAAATAAGTAACGAGAAACTGGATAACTATCTGTAGTTGTCTTTTTTTTTTCTTAGGTTTTTAAAAAATTATATTAAGTAAAAAATGTATGTGAAATTGGTAATTATAGCCAGTACATTCTTATCTTGATAAGAATCTACAGTTATAAGATTTTTAGAGTTTTGGAACCTCACTAAAAGTGTACAGTGTTTCAGACGTTTCCCCACATCTTTAAAGCTAGACCAGAGGAATGTGTAGACCTGTCATGGAAAGTACAATTAGTGTATCTTGTTTTGTACTGGAATAACTTACTGTGCTTAAAGGAAGAGTTAAAATAGATAAGTAGAGCATAAAACATAGAGTACTAAGAACAATAACGTACTGAAGTGGAGCAACTTGTCAAGTAGGAGAAATAACACATTGAAGTTAATTATGAACAGCTTTAAAGATGTTTCTTTCAGTCCATTATATCCTGGTTTTCCATAGGAACCTTATTCCTTTCACAATTGTAGTTATTTTAATAGTATCTGGCAAAAAAGTTATCTTAGCAATGTTGGTTAGAACTAGGGAAAAAGCATATAAATACAGCTTATTCCTTTCCAGCAGGGAGAGGTGCCAGAAAGTTGTGTTCTGCCTGCCACAAGGCATCTGCTTTGACCAGATTTGTGAATTTGTCTTTGATACACTTAATGAACAGGCTTCAATCCTACCCTTAACGCTTTCCTTGATAAATAGGCAAGAAACAAGAATTTCTAGTGCAGAGGCTGTGTGTATATTCGTGAGAAAGCTGTGTTGGCAGGTGTACTGTTTCTGTGCCACCTCTGGGACTTTCTGTCCAGACAATTGAAGAGTCTTGGGATGAGACAGGAAATCAAGATTAGGACTAAGTGATGCATTTTTATAATGACAAAAGCTGGAGTGATAATATCTTTAAAATCTGAATTAAGTCTTCACTAAGTTTTTTTTCCCTCTTTTTGTGTCTAAACAGTCAGTTCTAGATGCTAATGAGTGGTTTGATTACCAGCATGCTGTGGACTTATATCAATGCCATTCTACCTCTTTACAAAGAATGGGAAGAAAAAACCCAGCAACTACTCCTCAACCTGAACCACAAAACCCAGTTTGTTTGCTCATAACTCCATTTCTCTATCAACTACCCTCCACTTAAGGCATTTTTTATAGACCTTTTCCCTAGTCTGTATTTTATGTACCTATGTTGTTATTGTTTTCCTTTGTCTTGTGTCCATTTCATCATTGGTTTTTCCACTCTCATATGGAATTTTGTCTCATATGCTTTAGTTGTGCTGCTCAGCTGTATCAGTCTGCTGTCCTGAGTTTGTCTGTTGTACCAAGATGCATTTACTGAACTAGAAAAGGTTTTCCCAGTTATGAATTTTCCTGGTCAGCAATTACAGCAAATCCACAAGACAGAAGAAATGGAAATTTGAATTTTGACTTTTCAAGGGTGAACCTAAAATTGCAATTGCAGACTGAAAATCCCTTATTATTTTTACACTGAAAATCCCTGTTTTTGTCACATCTGATACAATCCCCTTCTAGATTCATACATAGATAAAAGTCTTATCTGAGGCAAGCTGTGATGTTAAAGCATTTGATATTCCAAATGTTGGGAATGTTGATATGAGGTATTTTTTACTTATTCATGATGAACCCAGTCTTTGAGTTTTCAGTTTTTTGTTAAACTTTGATGTGCCGTTTACTCCATTACCTGTGATGTTTCAAGGGGAATTCCAGCAAAATCCGTAGATCTTGGTGGGTTTAGCCACTGCCTCTTATGTAACTGCCTGAAAATTTTAGCTTGCTTCTATAAGGACAGGTTACAGCCCTCAGCTAGTTCTCAAAGTGCTGGATCATTAGGTTTTTAAGGAGAACAATAAAATAAAACTCCCACTTCAACGTTAAATATATGTTGTAAATGTACTAATTTTCTGCTCTACATGTAGTAGTTATTGCCAGATCTATCAAGGATTTAAGATACTTTTTTTTTCTGTAATTCATGTTTCTGGCATCAATCATTTTTGCTGAAATTGCAGCTTTCATTTAAACAATAAGTCTAATATCAAAGCTTCAGGACATGACCCAAATGCAGTCTAATGGCTTAAACTCTCAGAAGGCACTTGAAACATTTGAGATCTAAAATTTGAAGAAAAATAAAATGTGGGGTTTGGCAGTATTGTATGTCAATCTCAGCCTTTTTGTTGATTTTTTTTTTTCCCCCTCTTTCTTTTTTTCTGCAGTAGGTTCTCTTTCTCTGCTTTCTCTGCTTTGGTATATTCAGTATATGATATGTAAAGTTCATGAGGCTCTCTGGGATCTTTCAGAGTTGCAGGCTCTCTGTAAATGAAACTACATTTTTTGTAACGATTGTTACTTCCAAACATTACATTTTATTCGGGAAATTGCCCAACTTTGTGAAGATAGAGAAGAACTAGAGTCTGAATGTCCTGTATCGTTCCTAGAAGGTAGTGTTCTTAGGAAAGAAAGGAGAATGAGGTAGTGGCTAGGGGAGCAGCTGCAAGCAACTTACAGAGGCATTTTGGTACTTTATTGTGGGTCAGTTGTGAACGTGTGAGATCTGGAGGACACTGCAATATTGGTATTGCAATGTAAAACTGGCTATGTTAGCAAGATATCTCTTGCCAGAAGCTGCATTAAAAATGATACCTGTGATTTTCTTAGGTGTTCTGTTCCCATGAAATATGCCTTTTGTCTTTTTGAGTTCAGTACTAATTATCGGGAAAACAGGAAGTGGTTTGGGCATGAGGGTTTGTCTTTCATGAGAATTAAGTAATTTTGCTCTTGGTTTCTAACTTAGGATCTTCCATAATTGACTGTATGCACATATAAATATGTCTTTTGATTTGGCAAGCTCAACAGAACCAGAATTCTCTCATCACCGGGATTCAGTTTTTTTCTAAGGTTTTTCATAGTCATTACTTCCTCTTCAGGCTACTTCCAAAAATGCAAAGTGCAGAGCAAAACTGATCTTTGTTACAACTTTTCAGACATTCTTGGCTGTAAAATAGGAATGTAGGCAGTATCCCTGTC